TGGAAAGAGCTTGACATGCTGATTCTAACGAGCCCAAGAACGCCTGGAACGGATGAGGACTCAGGGAATTATGACGGTCGAAAGATACAAAGATCTTCGCCTACGCATATGCGAAGGAAGTTCGCCTACGCATAGGCGAAATAGGGCTTGACGTCGGCGGGGTGTCCGCCGAGAATGCCGCCTACGCATAGGCGGGGAGGATTTGCACCTACGCATAGGCGAACGAGAATCGCCTACGCATAGGCGCTTCGGCGTCGGCAGGAAGTCCGCCTTCGGCCCTAGAAATCCGCCTTCGGGGTTGGAACTTGTATGGCGCCTTCGGCGCCAGCGCATCACGGATGGGCGAGGACCCAACGGAGTAGTAAAATCCGTACGAACCGTATGGACTGTACGGACGGAACGGACGAGTGCGCCTTCGGCCGGCCGGGATTACGGAGACAAGAGCGCCAACGGAGAGGCGAGAGAAATGGACAGACTGGACGGAGTCCGTTGACCGCAGTCAACGCCTTCGGCACAGCCGCCTTCGGCGCTGCGGCTGCGGCGAGGGACCTGCGCGGACGATCGTCTTGTGTGCGGACGGAATTCGCCTACGCGTAGGCGAGCGCCTACGCACAGGCAGATGAAGTTCTGCGCCGGCGGAAACTCCGCCAGGGATTCCGCCTACGCAGAAGGGAGTTCGACTTTTGTCATATGCGCGGACGAACGCCTTTGGCGGAGCGGCACTAGCCAAATTGAAGTATGAAGGAGTGTAGCGCGCCGGCGAGAAATTCGCCTTCGGCGCTGCGCGCCTATGGCCGCGGCGTGATACGCTGGCGGAGTTCAAATTACCAATTCGAGCGTGCGAGTGAAGTTGGCGTTGGCGGAGCGTGAAGCCGCGCGTGAGAGAGAAGGCCATTATACCGCGGAGCCGGCGCGGCCATCAAGTGATTCGACCTTCACGACCGAGAGCCGACCATGACCTCCTACGAGGAGACAGAGGACGTCTTATTCTTGAATTTGCGATTTCAATTTCTGGTGCGAGCTGCGCGCGTCCACTTGCTAGCTGAGAGACGTTCTAGACATCACCGCGCGGAGAGTTACTCGGTGGCTGAAAGAGAATTGAGTGCGCGACAGTTGGAATTGAGAGAAATTAGAGTTTGCAGAGGAGGCAGAAGCGCAAGCAAGAGGCTCGGGCAGAGCAGAGAGAGAGTTGCGCGAACCAATTTCAAGAACGCAATGTCGAAATCGATGAGGCTGCGGATGGTGCCACTCAAGCTCCCGCAGAATGGGTTGCGTGCCTTTGAGGAACGGCTGATTGCAAGGAAACTCGAGTTCTTGCCGTGGGAATGGAATTACGTGTGCGTATACATGGTGCGCGAATGGTTGGACGAGGAGCGACCACCTACGCGTGGATTGCGTTCGCACGTAGATAGATGGACTGTCCGCGATTGGGGACAGGCATTGGGGAGGTGCGCAGGTGACGACGGGTACCTCCTATTCGAGAGTGAGAGCGTCAAGGTAACGAAGCAAGACGAAGCCTCCTTCGTGGAATTATTCAAGCGGGAGAGGTCTTCCAAGAACGGGTACAGGACCCGCGACTACAAAGATCGTTTCCGCAGGACCCTAGCGATGGCGTTGTTGCAATTGTTGCAGCCGCACCGCACTACGTACATCACGTTGTGGCAAGTGTACTTCGTGGAGCTCATCTTGGCCGGAGCTCCAGTTCACTGGTCGCGTATCTTGCATAGGGTGATGCGACAGCATGCGTTTGAGGAGCGGGGAGGAACTCTCAATCACCGAGGGAGCAGCGAGGCTGCAGGAGCGCCTGCAGCGGCAGAACACGCAGCCATCTCGCAGCCCCACTCAGGCCAGTCGCCGACGCAATCAATGGCGACCGAAATCCTCAATTCGGAGGATGATGAAGAAGGAGGATCCACGGAATCAGTGTCGGGATCGGGATCCACCGAGGAAGAGGAGGAGAAATTAGTTGATGCGCCGGCGGCGGCGCTCTGTGAGCAGGTAGTACCTCTGCTGAGGTACTTGGATCGCAAGATGGAGAAATACGCGGATCCTCGCCAGCCTGGGTCCTACGTCGAGTTAGTGCGCAGGCGAACTCGCACTAAAGTCCACACTAGCAAGTTGCTAGCTTGGGTGGACCGGGAACTTAAGGATCTGCGAGAGAAGCATGAATGCTTGTGGGGTCAGTACAACCTCAATCAAAAATTTTACAAGTACTCCGACAAGGTGAGGGATGGTAGACTGAAAGAGCTCGCCAAGGAGCAGGTGAAGCTCACGGAAGCGCTGGATTCTGAGCAGGCTCAGAATCAAATTTTGTCAGAGGAGCTCGTGCAACAGACGCGGTTGTTAGAGCAGTGTCAGCTCGCACGACAGGCGGATGAGGAATTAATCCGCAGGCTGCTATCCGAATGCGGAGAATTGAGAGCACAGCGTGCGGAGGCCGAATTGCAGTTGGTAGTAATTGAAGACGATCGCCGGCGAGAGGCAGATCGCACGAAGGAAGAGATGGCGAGGCGAGTCACCCACTGCCTCAGGGGCTACGCCCACTGGGAAGTGGTGACGCAGGAGAAACTCACACTTCGTGAGTTAGAGCTTCGTGCAGCCGGGTTGTTGACAGGTGACAGTCGGAGTCGGCGGCGAGTAGCGAAGAAGCTCGATTCTTTTCTGTCGAAGGCGCGAGACACCATGGCCACCCTTGAGACGGAGGTTTCCGCGGTGTTGCGGCGATTGGGACTGCGCAGTCGAGCTAAAGACTGGCAGGGTAGAGAGTTAGTGCGCGGCAGTCCGTCGCGCAGGAGGCGAAGCACAGGTTCTGCGGAGTGTAGTGTAGCGTGGTTCCGTGCAGGCGCATAGATAGTGCAGTGTAGTGCTAGTTAGTACTTAGAAGGTATAAAGTAGTTCAAGGCGTCTTGCCTTGGGATTTTTCCAGTTTCGGAAGTGCAGATCAGGAACTCATTTTCTCTGCGTGTTTGTGTTCTTAGTTTTGTCACCACGCGAGAGGAGCTACACCTTAGCGATCCGCATTGTGTAGTTGAAGGCCTTCGGCCGAATGTTCAGAGCTAGTACATTGGTTAGAGACTTGAGTAGTTCGGATCTACACCTGCGGATGATTGCCGATGCTAAGAGCCAGTGACGAGTTAGATACTTGAACAGTTTTCCCCTTACACCTTCGAGTGATTGTTTCTTATTGTACTCATTCAGGATTTTTCTCCTGAATGCCAAAGTGAAGTTTTGCTACTTCGTGTAAGCCTTGGTTGTAAATTCAGGTTACGATGCAGCAGGTGCCTTCAGGGTAACCCCTGTAGTATTTCTAGGAATGACAAGTGCCTAAGTATTCAAACTCTTCAATAGACTGTTATGATGTGTTACTGGAATGTTTCTCAGTGAGTCCTTCCGTGCGGACCTGTGTTCTCTGCGTGTTTTGTGAGTTGAGAGTGTTGTTCACCGCGTGTGAGTGACTTCGATCCGAAGTAGGAAGTCCAAACCGGGTTCCCTACGCTAGCAGGAAACTAGTGGAAGGGTTGTAAAAGCCAGAGTTGGGAGTCACTACCCGCAGCTTCGCTGAGTGTACTCGTGAGAGACTTTCCCCCTGAAATCTTGAGTAGAGGTCCTAACCGATCTCTGGGTTGTGTTTCTGTAGTTTCAGGTGTGTGTGTGTGTGTGTGTGTGTGTGTTACGCTGCACTGTGCGACCTCCGAGTGAACACTTGCAGTATTTCTGGGAGTGACAGTCGCCTGAGAATTCAAACTCCTCAATAGTCTGTTAAATGTGACACTTTGTACCCTGTGTGTTCCTCTGTCCCTGTGGGTTTGACCTTTCTACCACTATATTGCAGTTTTAGCCTTTAGTGGGTTATTACAGTTCTTATACTTGGTCATTTATTCTCTGCCATTTTGCATGCAAAAGCCCAAAAGTATGTGAAAACCAAGTTTGTCAAGTCACATACCATAAACCTAGTCTTGCATTCAAGAAGAGGATTATTTTTACCGTGTTTCATTAGCAATAACTTTGTCCAATCATGAAAGTTGTTGGCATGCGCAATGCATGATTCCCTCTTTTGTTTGTGAGTGGATGATCACATGTTTTGTATGTTGAATCGTCATCGTAGAGATGATGTATACTTGATCTAAGAAAATGTTCAAGTTTCATGCAAGGCATGTGAATTTGATTTCGTTTATTACAAATGCAGGCTATACTAATAGAGAAGGTGATACGCAGATTTTTCTGGGTGAACATACAAGGAATAAAGTTGAAGTAGTACACTTTTGGACTGAACATTTCACAACTTTGTGTTTTCTTCCGCATGGAATTCCATGTGCTATGAACCATTATTCCATGAATCCAGAATGAGATACTAGAAACTTTTCCAAACCTGGATGATTACCTTTGCACACTTGAATAATCTAGGAAGTAGCGGTTAGTTATACTTCAATTTAGGTTAATTATCACTCATCCTACCCTATTTAAAGTGAACAAAAATGTTTTCGATATCATGTAAGGAAAAAGCCACGACTTATATTGAATGGGTGAAATGGAAAAAATTGTCCGCATTGCATTCGCAAGGAAATATAGACTTTCTCATTGACTCAATTAATGCTTTCAAGAATTCACAAGGTGAGAGCGTGATTTCATGGGTGGTATTCCACACATCCAAATTTTTTTAGATTACCCATCACATACTTCTCTACGGGAGAGTATAGTAAAGTAAGGGATAATTAGCCTCTCCCATATTTTAATGCATAAATCTCACCGGAAAACTTAATCCACCATATACACAATTTGTGATTGTATTGAGGCATGATTTAAGAATCCCTTAATGCTGTGCGTTATTATGACCATCCACGTGTAGAAAAGGAAAGTGTGGACAACAGAACTAACAATCACTAATAGAGAAACATTGTTAGGCTTGTTATTGGTGCATACATTGATCCTCTACAATGATTCATAGTAACTACAAACGAAGGTATAATCAACAGGATAACTTCATCATAAGAACATGAGTGACGACTATACATTCTACATCTATTATCCACGGTTAATCGTTCCAATTGCCGAAAGCGTCGCTATCCAGAAATGTTGGAGAAGTTGCGCAGAATGCAACCAAATTTTGAAGGACTGGTTACAACTGTCAGCTCCAAGACTGTTTAACAGAAATGCTCACCATAATGAAGAATGTAGATGACAAGATAGGCAAAGTCTATGCACAGTACTTATAGAATGGCGAGAACTGACAAATAATGCGTCTTATAGGTAGATCTGATGGATCTACATTCGACCATAGGAAGAAGTAAGGAAATATGACGACCCCGTAGGTCATAGTCAAGAAGCAAACTAGTCTGTAAACACAACTCTGGATGTACAAAATAAAGATATAGAGGTAGACATATGGAAACATAAGCGGAAAGAGCAACAGGAGCTGTTTTCTACTGCGGTGTTGTACCCGGCAATTGATGCGGCTTCTAACTCTGCTCATAAACAAGAGGCGAAATGTCAGGATAGCTGCACCGACGTATGTCTGGCGAGCGAAGAAGCTGCCTCAATTTTAGCAGACTCCGTGATTTTTCTCAGTCAGGGCAGTCCTTTGGGTCGAGCGTCTATCCATTTCGATCACTGCTGGTTACAAATTGCCCGTTTCTCGAAGTTCGATTTCCATCCATACTCTGCATTCAAAATATGTCCGCAGATCTCGACCGTATCATGAGCAGAGGATACTCATAAGTTTTAATTGATATCATCATCTGTTATCCGATCGCTCTTGTGGTGGAGATTGTCTGCTCAAGGTGTCAAACAAAGATACATCAGACAATTGGTTCATCGAAAACTAAGAAATTGACATAAATGAAACTAATCGGGTACAGTGTGAGATATCAATCGTTGTGAGTGTAGAATCTGTGATGCATCTAAGAATGACGCGTGTACAATGCATCCAGCGAAACTAGCATTCGGAAGACTGAAGTAAAGAAAGACACCAGCGTGCTCGATAATACAAAGTTAGCGAAGTAGCGAGGTAATTTCGCTTGATCCAAGAGTGAAGTGAATTGTTAGTTAAGAATTGTAATGTCACCTTTGAAAATCAGCAAACCTCTGATCCGCTTCGTCTCTTTGCAGAAGGAAGATCGTTTGGAGTGGATCTCAACAGCAAGCCATTCAGTAGCTGAAGAACTAGTATCAGGCGAACAGTCACAAGGTGCTGCAAGCACTTATACTCCTTTGCACACTCAGAATCATCTCTGCATGAGAATAGGCCTGGTAGTACTGATTGCAGCCTCTGTGGTGGTTCTGTGGCATGAGGAATCGTAATATTCTACTTTCGATTCAAAGAAAAGCATTAAAAATTTTCCCAGCAGTAGAAATCCACCCTTGTTCGAACCGTCCAATGATCGCATAGAGGCTCAATTCCGTGAGTCCTGTTACTGTCAAAAGACTTCTCGCATCTCAAAGTTTCTATATTCAGGTGTCTTGTACAGTGCTGTGGCAACCAAAGCTTGCATGAGTCTAGCAACATCTTATCGATCCCTTTCGAATCTTCGATTCCGGAGAGACATGAAGGGTAGCTGGGGATCGAAAATGACCACCATGAAAAAAGCGGAAGGTAGCTGGTGCAAAGAACTTAGGTGGGCTCAATTTCATTCTGTTACAAGTGACGTCTGCTCATTCCATGAGACGACGATAGCTGACGCTGTGCTTTCATTCGCGCCGAAAGGTTTGCTGAAGAAATTGAGCTTCTGGACAGTTTGTTTGTTGGATTGCCTTTCGTAATCTGAAGCAATCGTTGCTTTGAATTCAAAGCTGTTCGAGGCGAAATAGAGATATTTTTCAAGGGTCCTTCGAGGGTTATTTTCACACTGGTGTGAAAAAGCCTGAAGGTCACGGTTTCATTCTGTTTGACATAACTGTACAGCTATATCACTGCATGCATGCGTTGTCCTTAATTGTGATGGAAATTTTGCAAATATGCTCGAATCGCGAGATTTCAATTCAAGTCTGGAAGCATATTTCTTTAACACCATACTTCTTATTTCTTCACCAGTAACGTCAAAGTTCAAAGAAATACATAATGCGTCTCGAAATGAAGGTTCTAGCAGCCAAGCGAATCGCCGCTTTCGCCACTATATTTGAAGAAAAGTGTGGCACTGCCTTTAGTGCGAACGTAATGACATATAGGCAACAACTGTAGGAACGCATCGCTAAAAAGTTGTTAATTAGTTGGAGGCTTTGAGACTCCCAAAAAGAATGAAATTCATTTCGAATGAGGGCACTCACGCGCTGAGTGGGCGTAACCGGTGCAACCTTAAAGCGTTCGACTCTGATGGATTCAAGAGGATGTTGGTTCAGCAACATTTCACTTCTTCCGCAGCAGGCCACAGCTTAGCTGGTCCCTAACATCAGAATATCTGCTACTCCAAACTAAGAACACTGCGCATGCAGAATTCTAGCCAAGTGAGATGACAATTTACACTAAGCTTTGGCTATGGAAAGGTCATACTGCATCTGCCTGGTTCATGGGCGCGTCCGAGGAGAAGAGCGTTCAGAGCTACCATCAGCTTTTGAGATAGCTATCCATGAGCAACTAAATATCCAAGCTTTATAAACAAGTTCTGATTCTGAACTGAAGTGGAACAGTGCAGTGTGCTTTGTAGCCCAGTAGTGATGATGTTGGAAGAACTTGGTTACTAAATACCGAAACGAAGAAGAGCTGGAGAGAACCCTCGCAGAATCGGTATAGAAGACATTTTTTCTCCTGCTGGTGCTGTTCGAAGGATATTAACCATTCATTGCTCATTCCCAGGTCTCGTGAGAAGGAAGCTTTGTATGATGCGAAATGCAGCGGCTGACATCATTAAAACTAATCGATCTAAAGATAGAGCTAAGAGTGCTTTGATCATGCTGACTTTTCGAACGGCAAGTCTTGGGCGGGACACCTAGCTCACTGTCGCCTTTTCCTGTCTCCATTTCTCCTATTCTTTTGGCTGCGAGCATGTGCTCGATGCATGATAGATGGAGAATAAGTGGAGAGAACATTATTCTGGAGTTGGATTTGCTGTCACCGCTCATCTTACCATATGACTTGGCAACAACATGGCTGGCGTTTCTCCAAACTTACCCTTATGATTCGGATTGTGATTGTTCGAGTGGTTTGAGGTCTGTTAAAAATTCCATAATCACCTAACTATAACGAGTTTGAGTACATTGGTGCATGTCCGATGAAGCTAGAAGACCCGCCAGTAGATTTACTGAAGCTTTCACAACTTCCGCTCGCAAGCTCGGGCTTGCACCCTTCTGCTGCTTCTGCTGCACTTGTTTGTATGTCATGCTGGCAGCTACATGCGACTGAGAATTACAGGACCATTGCTTCAGCTGAACCACCTGATTGTGGTTTTCAATTATCCTTTTGTCCAACCATTGTCTCATCTATTTGAACTGTACCAGGATTGGATCACTCACTTCGGACATCCAAATTGAATCCAAACTGCCCATTTCTTCTGTTTCTAAAGCTATCAAGTGAAGTCTAGATTATCATTACAGGAGACAATCATGCTCTATACTCAGAAGATTACTTGTGATGCGATGTCGAGTCCTCGTGAATTCGAAGCTAGCGGTGTTCAACTCACAGCTTCCACCCACAGTCAGAAGCCCTAAACTCATGCCATCTCCTTCATGGCAAAACATTGCTGAATAGAATGCTAATGGCAAGATCACGTTCCCAAAACTTGACCCCAGAGGCTTGCAGACTCCATCAGTGGGAAGACATGTTTCATACGGACGAAAACCCACAAAAAGCATTGCACCATTTGACAGTTAAATTATCATCCATACCGGCTGGAGTGGAAGAACACATTCCATGGAAAGTTGATGTCAAACAATCAGAAGAACCTCCATATGATTCACAGATTCGGATATTACATGTTACATTTTTTTACATGTTACAATTACTTGTCTAACTCCACGCTTAGATGGAGGACTTGAAAGAGCTTGAGTGTCGAAGACGAATTAGCTAATGATAGAAGATGGAGAATATGTCAGTAGATCTGATGAGGACAATATGGAGGATTCAGACTAATCTGGTAACATTATCACGGGTGTGCTACTTCCAACAACAACGCTCCAACATCCAAACATCGGAGTTCCGTTTCCAACGGTTAATTATGTGCGAGACTAAGTATCAAAACTTTGTAACCTTCCACTTCAAAAGACAATAAAAACGGCTGCGCATTTTCTTCTCATAAGCAATTTCACTGTACAATTCGGTTCAACATGACAAAGAGAGCAATAGAGCCGTTGGTAGAATGTTAAAAAAATCAAAACTCCAGCATTTCTCTTCCTCTAGCATATGATAGAGTATCTTTCCACATAAAGGCCACAGCCTCCGGGACAACAATGCCACATATCACACGCTCAAACAATGACATAGATTGGGCAACACAAAGGTCTTTTGTCTCACGCGGATGTTTGATTGTAAGAGCTTCTTTTCAAATATTGTACTCCTACTTTTGTGAATTGAAACAATGAATCGTAGGACTCATCAAACTTGAATGGAAAATCATAATTTGAATATGGAAAGACACACTAATCAAACGTATTCTTGCATTCATGACAAAATTTTGAAGCAGAGTCGAAGGTTGGGAATTGAAGAATTTACGGTAACATCTTGATTTTATGCTGGCCTTGATGAAGAATATGAGAAATATAGATAGGGCAACGAGCTTTTAAGTGTTTCGAGCTAGACAAATGTAGATGCAGATAGAAGAATATCAATCAAGATATTTTTAAATTAAGTATGATGTGCCACATTTTACTAAGAGATGGTCGAAGAGTTGAAAACATAATGAAGTTACATGAATCTAAATAGTTATGACTAAGTATAGTTAGTTATATTTAGTTTATCAACATTTTTTATACTTGGTAGAATAATTAGAAAAATTCTAGAAAAAAATAGAAAACATTATTATTTTGTCTTTTATAAAAGTTTAGATTTGAAGAGAAAAAACTTTTGATAACAAGATTAGTTTTGATTGGTTGGACTAAATAAAGAAAAATCCATAGATTAGATTAAGTTTTCATTTGACTTAGTAGCAAGTTGAGGTTCTAGAATTTTGGAAGTCTCAAATGGCATATGTTCACCTCAACCTAGAGTCAAGAAAGCTTCTAAATGGTTTGGATAGACCAATGACATGTTACATATTGGAAACTAGTCAAATCTTCCATGATTTATCTTTGTAAAAATAAATTAAGAAATAATTTTCATTTGTTAATATTTCAATTTTTCAAGTTGTAAAATTAGAAAAGGAAAGAACATGTAAATGTTTTTTGAGTAATTTTCAAGAATTTTAGTGCTTGTAGAGTCAAAAATGAATTGTGTTCAAATTTTTTTTCAGTTCCTGATCTTTCATGTAACCAAAGTCATGAGTGTCTGAACTTTAGGGGGTTATGATAATTATCAAAGAATAACTCTTGGAAAATGTGTGCAAAGTTTATTAGAGTACTTTTTGTTTGTTAATAATTTCTGAAACTTTGTTTCTTTGTAGAATGAGATCTTAGTTCCGTAACAGTGAGAATTTCATTGACAGATCATGTCTAACAAAGAGATTATGATCTTTCTAAAGTCTAGGGGTACAAAAACATGAATTGAATGAAAAACTTTCTACTTTAGTTATTTGCAATTTTTGGTCATTTACGAAACGTTTTGGGAGAGATATCTTGAATTTTTTTCATTTTATAGAAAAATGAGTCAAAAAGTGAATTGGAAATTTACATTATTCAAGGTATCTGAAGTCTTGGATGATAGTCTCCCTGGACTTTAACACAAAGAAATTCAAAGTGGAGCTTCAATATAGAGCAGTAAGTCAATCTTTAAGAGTGAAACTCAAAATGTGTTTGTATTGTGGAGAGTAAGTACTCAAGGTTGTTTCGTGTACTCTCTGCAACATGAACCTGAGGTTGAGAAATCAAAGAAATTAGGGAAATTTGAAACTTTATTTGAGACCATCTTCTTCACACAATTATCAAAGCGCAACGTATTGTGATAATTGTGAAGTGATTAGACTACCGACGAAACATAAATATATATGTGTCAAGTCACTTCTTGAATCATTTGTGGAAAGTTTGGATGACAAACTTAGTGCACAGACGAAAAATTTGACCTCGGTTAACTCAAGTTCAAATTGAAGATTAAAATCATCATTCAGATGATTAAGAATATCTTGATGAAGACAAGACTATGTTTCGAAAAGAAGAAAACTATGACTATTGAGGAATTACTCAAGGATCGAGTTACTATTGTTTGTATTATATATAAAAGTTTCATATCAATTTTCAATAGGAAAAAAAATTAAAAAGATTAGAAATGGGAAAACTTACCATATAATATCTAGAACTATATGTCAAATCCGTTATTAGAGTTATTCAAAATTACTTCCAACTATAAATCCAAACTCTCCATATCTGCTTCAGAACTCTATGTCAATTAGCCAATTCTCATATGTCATGGAATTGAAATTGCCTCCAACACTCCAAGACGTACATGGTTTTGCCATATTTTGTTTGTTGAGATTGGTTGAAGCTCACGGAAGAAAACCTAAACCACTAATATAGTTGGGAGGCCAAAAGTGAATAAACGATGCAAACATGGCTTTCTCTGCCATTGATCAAATATTTGTCATTCTAATAGCTATTCTTTGGAAAAAAGTTAAAAAAATATATGACTATTTTACTATCTAATGGTTTTACACTATTGTTGAGCTCGTTCTTAGCGGTACTCATCGGCCATTGAGGAGAGGAAAATTCTGAGAGCTATTTATGAGTGAATAATTAATACCTAGCCAGAATTATTTTATCTTCTGAGTCAGGTCGACTGGAAATTCTCGTGTCTCTATGAATAGTCTGTAATGAGACTTTTTGGCTTTAATCATTCGAGTAGCATCTGAACTACTTGATTTAGTATTCCAGTCTAATCTGCTCGTTTTGTGAATGAAGCTGCGGCTCTAAAAGGTCCATGAGAGACTTCGGGAGTTCGAAGATGGGAGGGTATCAATCATACCCTCTCATCTAAAAAGGATTGGTCGTGTCTACTTCAATGTGGTGGATGAAAGAAAATTGGATCATACGGTATGATCCCATATTCTTTCATCCACGAAATAGACACGACGAATCCTTTTTAGATGATCAATATTCCACAACTGCAACCTGATTCGGCTCTTCGGCTCTTTAGTTCTGATGCATGTTTTGCTGATAATGGTTCTAATGGTGGTTGTTTCAGGTTTGAGGGAGCCAACGAAGGATGCAAATGCGGTGACAAATGCTCATGCAGCCCTTGCACCTGCAAGTGAGAATACCGCTGATCTATAGACTTCATACCTCCACCTTGCGGACGATGGATAGAGATGTGACCTGATTGCTCAGTTAGCAATCAGCTCATGGTCTACAGCCATGCAGAGGACGTAAGGCAGGCCTGTTGTTTATATGCACGCACTACAATGTTCAGAGAATACAGGAAGTGTTGTCTTGTGCGTCAAGGCTGTAAGAAGAGCTTGACTTCAAGTCGACAGGGTTCAACTGTATATTTGTTCACCAAAAATAAAGACATAATCTTCTAACAAGAAGTCCAACATCACGGCCAATTGCCGTTTGATTTTCATGGGTTTCCGATAGTGGGTGAACTTGCAACCTTACAAGTCTAATCTAATCATGATGGCCTTACCTCGCCTGTTGAGGACCCAGGATCGGAAGGGCAGGTATGTGAAAACAAGAGAAAAATTGCTTCCAAGAACGTGGATCGAAGATCTTAATTTGCAGTGCTTTATAGTACCTAGTTCTAGATGGGAGGCACGAAGGGGTCAAATCCTCGAATGGAGATCTATAAGCAGCCGATCAAACAACATTGGTCTGATTCTGTTTAGCTGATGGATCAGATGAAACACCTTCTTACCCCGCATCTTCTCACAGGACCATCTTGCAAGGAGACGCGCTACCTGCAATACGTAGGCCCCCACATTGGGATTCTCGTTGCAGCTCGAGGAACTCTTAACGCCATCTGTGATCCCGGAGTGCCCAGACGATAATCTAATATTCAAATAGAATTGAGGATTTCTCTCGAGCAATTTCTACTCTTGGATTGTTCAAAGTAGACGGTCCCAGTACTCGGCTTCATCCGCGCCGCGTATGCACAATTCAACAAAAATCGCGAACATTGAGATCTGCAGGTGCTCGATGCATGTGCACTCTTTGATCGATCGACCCTTCGCTTGCGTGTCTCGTGGTTGGTCGAGGGAACAGTCGAACGATCTTTTATAGCGACCATATAGCTGTGTAATTATGTAAATGCATGCGCGGATGTCGTGTGAAGTAGTTTGAGAGCCGAGATGACCCCGTGCCGTATTATCAAATGTTCACAGAACGAGAGTAGAAGTAGAGCTGAGCGCGATCACAGAATAAATCCCGCCGAGCTAAAAAAACGATTTCAGGAACTATCGGCGGTTCTGCAAAAGACGCGAGATTCTTTCAGCTGTCGATTGGACGAAGACCAACAGAACCCTCTGGTAGAGCTGCGCACGCGCTTGTTCAAAGCCAAAGATCGCTTCCAATCTCGGCTGGCTATGGCTGAGAGGTTCCCAGACCCCGGAGGCTTCTACCCCGTCGAACCAGAGAATCCGTTCCAGGAACTGCGATCCGTGTTGAGAAGCGCTTGAGTCAAGTTCGTGCCTCTCTTGGATCAGTGCATTCTGGACAGCAGCAGCAGAAGCAGCACACAAGGATGGAGTTCGAGTCACAGTCGTTCGGATGGCAGAGGATTGAATCCATTTTCCGCACAGCCTCCGCCGATTGAGAAGCTGAAACTGGACGATGACAATGATGTGAATTCGTTCCCACATCGACTGCACTGGCTACTGGAGGAAGAAACGCGTTCCAGACGCAGGCAACTTGAGGCGGATCTGGATTCCCGAGACCCAGTACAAGATGCTGCTGGTGCCTCTTCCTCGCCTGCTGAGCGATCGACTCGCTCATCAATGAGGAGTTGAATTGCAAGAGGGGGCCAGGCTTTGATCGTAAAAATTACCTTTGAAGGTTTCGGAGAGATCATGGCTGGAGCAAGTTCCGAACTTCGGGCGTACCAATTTGTGGGATCACGACAGACGAAAGCTGACCGCCGAAAGTTTTCTCATCCCCGGCAGTATGTCACCCTGATCCTTCTGCCTTACAGATCGTGTGGAGCTCATTCTAGTTCATATTCTGAACACGTTCACGGGAGAATGAAAGTTAATAGTCAAGTGGAATCCCCACATCACGCCTTGCAGATTTTACACATGCATGGTCAGAGAGCTAGCTCCTCGAGAACTTCTCGAGACCAGAAATCCTCTCGGTTATGAATGCTGCGAAGATAGTCTGATGGTATTCGGGAATCGAATTAACCAGCATCCAAAGGCAGTGGAGCGTGCGATGGTTTAGCTCGATCAAATGCTGGGCACCGGAATTCAAGCGGTGAAACTAATTATCCAGCGAGGCGGTACAATACTGGAGGAATCAGGCCAATCTAGAGCATTTGTGCTGGAGATTTCAGGAGGAGGTATTGGGGCTCGTATTTTCCCATTTTTACCTTAAATACCTCGTTTCCTTCTCCAGCTTCAGTCCACTCCTTCATTGGGGTCGTTACAAATACACTCTTGCCTTGATGTGTTCCACCAGATCACAGCTCGAGGTTCCCCACCTCAACTTCTCTGTCTGAAATAAACGATAGCATTAGAGCAAGTGAAGAAGAGAGAATTCAGGAACAAATTGAGGTTCTGGATATGCCCTGCGAAAACCAAATACAGGACATCAGCTCGGCATCTTTACTCTGATAATTCAGACATTTTACCGTGATAGCATTCAACCACATCATCGGATGATGATTCACAAATCCCCTGTCCAAAGTTTCCGTTGATAGTCATCCATCAGAATTAAAACATGTTACTCATCTTTCTGGCGTGTCCTTAACAAACCAAGCTATTTCCATGAAGACTTAAAATGTGAATCAGAAATGAATTATGTAGAAGCAATAACGTTCATTGCAATGGCAAGAGATGGTGGTACTAGGAGTGTAGCACAGACATGCTGTAAATTCAGATATACCACATATCTTCAAGTTCATTATATTATCCAATTGAAGGTATTATGTTTAGCTTCTTGGGAAAGTAGAGATTATTGTTCAAGAATAAAATTTAGTTTCTTTGAAATTTTCCTGATAGAGAATTTTCCTTCGCTAATGTCATACTCATGCGCAAGAGCTTGGAGGGTTTCAGTTTTGAGATGATCTCGTAAAGTTGGGATTCATTCTAACGTTTGATAGACAATTTCTTTGACATTCTTAAACACGCAACTACCAGTTAAATTCTTAAATGCTCATAAAACTCTAGGGTTCAAGTTGCATAATTCAACGGGAGACTACTTTATTGGTAGATTAAACTCTATGTGTGGGTATTTAATCCTTAACGTTATTCTCATCACAGTGTTAGCAATAATGAAAAACTACACTCTGAACTTTATGTCTTCCAGGAAAATATGGATATACCGAGTACTGCAACTGCGTTTTGAGTTTTCTTTTTATACACGTTGTAAGATCTTATCTTTCAAAATTATGTTTAAACAATCTTATTATCAGATATTTGAGCCTTCCGGTACTCCAAATAATCCCACTTCTTGTGCAAAGTTTAGACATGTACAAACGATAATGATTCCTATACAGCCTTTGATTCAAACCGAATTTACAGGAGATAGAATGCTCCTGCAATGATAATCCGGATAATGGCAGCAGAGTTTGAGGACCTCGATATTGCCCTTCCCAGCTCCGGGTTGAGGACCAGATGCGCGAGGAATTTGCGTTTATCCGTCACAGACAGGAAGAGAGCTAGCGAGGACAGTTACTCTGAACTTCTGTCGTTGTTCGCAGATGATCCACACCGTCCTGTGTCACAGATGAGTTCACATCGTGTTCAACTCGATGGAAGTACTGGCGTCTTTCCATGAACCTGGAGGGTCAGATGTGATGCAATCTCAAAATGCAGGTCCATCCATTCATCTGAAGCGCACTGTGATTTTCTTTCTTGTACTCGAATTCGGCAACTATTACAGAAATAGATTAACAGTCGATTCTGATCGTACTTCCTAGTGTGGCCCGAGATTTGGATTCATGTAAATGGTCGTGATCAGTAGAATGGAAATAGATTCGTAAATGTTAGAGTGTGTAAGTTTATCTATTCAGAAACAGATTGAAAAGTTGGATCCCAAAGACTTACCACGTAGTCTCCGAACTTGAAGATGACACTGTCGGCCCAAGTCGTACAATTGTTGCCAATCGCATTGGCTCGGATTGCAAGTACCCACCCACTTTCATCTCCAACAAAGCATGCTTCTGCGATTGCTGCTCTGAAGGTAACTAGAAATACAACTGTCGAAGACACTGTCACTGTAGTCTGACCCATGGTGAGGTAGGCACTGTGGATGGAGGATGAGATCCTGACCATCTCTCTCAACACTCGAATTCAGCAGAAGCCCTGAGCTTGTTGGCAATTCAAAATGTCGTTCTGCAATCTTCGCAATGCTGTTCGATGATGCTCTTCAACCTGACTGCCGAGGAGGGCTCACGTGGCTGTTGAATCGAGAGAAAGAGGTAAATAGGATTCTGTAGAGAAACACCCATGACTAGATTAAAGACGTGAATGCTTAGATATCAGAGGCACTGTCTCATTTCGTAGAAGATCAATGAAAGGTTCAATTCAGACATTTCGACAGAATTTGGGCTATTCTGAAAGCGAGCTAATCGCTCCACATGGCACTTTTGAAATCACTGCGGCTGAACTCTGTGCACGGGCAAATGAACAATTCATCCTCGATTTCTGGAAGCTTTCTCTCGAAGCAGGGGGAGAGCATGGAAGCGCTGTCCTAAACCGACGTGGTCGGCCATCTCTAACTTGTCGGAGTGAGAACCTGTAGGAAAGCAGAGGGAGAGGACGAGGACGAGCCTCGATGCAGGTGGGAAAGCGGCTAGAGCTGGACGCAGAATCTGTCATGAGGTGGACGAAATACTCTGGGGCCTCATACGACCAACGTTTCCGGTTAGGCTGAGAATGGATGACTTCTACTGCGAAAAGAATTACACCATTGAGTGCGCAGATTTCAATGGAAGTCCATATGAAGATGTCGAGTACTTCCTCCGAGATTTCGAAGCCATCGCGCAGCACAAGGAACAGGTCTCGGATGAAGACAAACGGTGAACTCTTTCCAATTTGCTCTAGGAACGAGCTCTCAGTTGGTACACGTCTTTGAATGCAGACGAACGAGGAGATTGGGAAAGCCTCCGCGCTGCGCTTGTGAAGACATTTCGTCGAAATCCTGACAGATTGCCGACCAAACTCAGCAGGATAAAGAAAAAGCCTGATGATTCCAGTAAAAAATACTGGATCAAACTGACAAGGATGATCAATCAATTGCAGAGTGTCGATGAACCCTATCCTGAAAGATTGAGGGTTTGGTGATAGTTGAAGGGACTGCCGACATCCATTCGCAAGTATTGCCTGCAAGCAGGTAATAACTCCACCATGGAAGCTGCCATATCGGTTGCCAAGACCTACGAAGAGACGGCTAAGACTCCTCGTGAAGATCTTCACGGAAGAGGTACTAAAAGGTCAGAGGATGCGGATGCTGACGCTGATGCGAGTTAGGGCTCCGATAGGATCGGGCTCGGGTCGGATTTGACCTTGAACCCGACCCGAACAACCGGGTCGGATTCGGGTAGAACCCGAATCGGTCGGCAGATCCATGATCGTGAGGGGACGGCGAGGGAGAATCGTGAGATTGGAGCTGCATTTTGAGGAGGCAGGACGAGCAGCATATGTAGGGCAGCACGTCCCAGCTAGACGCAGAAGCAAGGGAGCGGGTGCCTGCATCGCATCGAGCGAGGTACGTAGCAGGCGGGACGAGGAGGAATGCTAGACACGGAGGAGGAGGAGAGTTTCGCGAGACGGAGCGGAAGCCGATGCAGACGACGACGACGGACCAGCTGGTCTTGCAGCTGAGCTCTTATCGGTCGTTGCTTTATTGATTTTCGGGTCGGGTACAGCGCTCTACCCGAACCCGATCGGAGGCCTAATGCGAGTTCTGAAATTTCTGATATTGAGAGTTGTACATCCATGGGCACATCCATTTCCAGTATTGCCGAATCAGTTGATTTGAAGCGCAGAAACTTAGCTCAGAGAAAACTTCATTCCTCGCCCAGCCCGGGAGAGGACAGCCGGTATACGCACTGATCGTCATTCAACGACGGGTGTTTAACGAGAGGCGGCGAAGTTCTGCTGCAAGAGTAACGATCGACAAGAAGATGTGAGATTTGGAACAAGACTGGATCGCCGATCTGTAAGTATTCAGGATGACTTTGAAAGGCTTAGCAGGAGACTGCACGGGCAAATCTACCTTTGAAGATAAAATTGGACGAGGTGGATCGATGAAACCAGGAATTTTATCAACGAGAGCACGGAGGGATCAATAACTGCGGCAAGAGACGCAACTTGCTCGTTCTCTCCTGACAATGCCTTCATTGAACACTGCCGGAAATGGAGTGACTACTGGAAATACAGTATCTCCACCTCATCGTAAGAGCATAAGTTGAGATGCGAATCCCGTCAGGAAATAATTAAAACCCCACCAATCACCTATTTACTCAACCTAAAAACGTCTCGTCCGGGAATGGACCGCAAAACACCCCGGGGGTTTTCGGTTGAGTTGAAATATGTGCTTACATATCACTTCATTGCCAGCGCGACAATTCTGATAATTGGTTGGAGTCACGACAAAATTGTTGCAAGCATGCCCAAGCCCCCTTTCAAGATCAAAAGGCCTGGCCCATGCTTGCATCATAATACATACATTTGTGGTATATACATAATATACATAATTGTATGTACAACGCGTAAATGAGCGTAAAATAACTAACTCTTATAAAACCGTAAGTAATACATAGTTAGTGTATATTGTGCGATGCTCTATAATTTATAGAGCATCGCAGAGTGTACACAATATATTGTGAGATGATCTCCATATGCACTAAACCACTCCATCAGATTGTAAATGCTAGACTATTACACAAGAGAGTTCTCCAAATACATTACGTTTGATTCTTGAGTGTTGTTGTAAAATGATTGGTTTTCTGTGGCTTCTTGCACTTCGAACACACCAATTTGAACCTCAGTCTGGAATAAACCATTAGAACCACATTACCCACCTCCAAGAAAAAGAATAATAGTTAAAAGCAAATGTAAGTTCGTGAAAGAATAAATTTTATCGTATTTTCAAGAATAAAATTCGTATCCAAAAATATATTATTTCTATAGGACAAAATTTCAAACAATTTTGTTCGATGTATTTAGTTTCAAAAACTTGTCAAATACCAAACCATGGTCAATTTTGAATAGTTTTATTTTTTCAATTATTCCATTTTCTATAACTCTAGAATCTATATATATATTTTAGAGTTACATTTATAGTTTATACATATATGCCCCGTATACAAAATGCAAATGAAGCCTGCCCTCGCCCGGAGGCATGCCTTTTTGGGTGGGCCTCCAACCCTACTCCTATGTCTCATTTACCTGATGACTCACAATCCCCTGTTTGTACATGTTTGACTATTAAGGACGAAGAGTACGGGTTCCGGTTAAATCTTGTAGTTGGCCTTTCGCCGTAGTATAGGTCTCCTCTACAACTTGCTTTGCCGAATAGAGGTCTTAAGAGAACACCTTCAATGCTCAAGACGATCGTGTGTAATGCAACATGAGTAGATCTACTTTTTGTATGTCAGTAAACGCCCTTCCAGTGTACCACAAGAGTTAGTACTGTTGTTCCCAGAACCATCAAAGGAGCGAACCAATTCATGAAGGCCATACCAATTGATTTTCAGATTTCTTGTCAACGAAAAATTGAATTCATCATGATTTCGTCACCGAAAAGGTACGAAACGAACATTTCTGGATGAGTCTGGGACTCGTAAGATTTGCTCCAGACTAATAGTGAACACTGACTGTAGGATGGGCACGGCTCGGCTCATGGCTAGCCGGCTAATATTTTTTGTTAGCCGGCTAGCCGATAAACACTGCCACTTCTATCCGAGGCCGAAAACGACCCGTAAACTCGGACAGAATTTACGTTTTTGGCCGATTATGTACTCAGTTTGGGCCGAAATTATTCAATATTTCGACCGAATATTGAGGTTGATTGCATTTTCGGCCGATAACCGACTAGCCGACGGCTAGACGAAAGTTAGCTGGCTACGTGCCCATCCGATCATGTCAGTGACTGACATGATCCAAAGCTGTATTACAAACGCAAAGCTCTTTGTATTGAATTCGTAGCTGATGTGTCCCTTCGAGCCTAGATGTCTCAAAATTGTTAGATTGGATGAGAAATTGTTCATCAGTCTTCAGCCACGTATCGATCTTTCCGAACTTTGAATATCAACCTCTGTCAAGCAACAACACATATGGAAACTTCTGAATAATACGGGCTCAGGTCAAACAGCTCGTGAAGATCAGGTTGCAGTTCCAAGTTTCTCTTCTTGTAAGCAGCCACCAGAACCTGGAGAACTCTTGTGAAAGCACTTCCAGAGGGGGTTTGATGGTAGTACAGAGGATGAGCGATAATGAAACTCAGAGTTACAAATCCAACGATTCCGGCTGGAATTGCTCCGACCCATACCCAACCATACTGTTCCTGCACCCAAGGGAAGAAGGCCAACGAGTCGATGACACGCTCGATGCTCAGACTGAACCACCACCAGTTCATGAACGACACCCTCTCATGGTTCTGCCCAGGATCAGTGTCGTCAAATTGGTCTGCAGAGAATGCCGTCACACATGCTTTGATTCCTCCCGCTCCTAAGGCCATCAAGTACAATGAAACATAGAAGAAGACTCTTTGGGTCACACTAGGCTTGTCGCACATGGTGTTGAGGAGATGATGATCACACGTCGGAGGTTTGAATGGCTCGAAGGACATGGAGACCGTGACACAAACCAATGCCTGCAAGTTTCCAATTCAGAATCTCGTCAACTGAGCCATGGAGCATCCGTCTTTCAGTCCACACTCTGCAGAATATTTGCACAAGCTTTGAATATAGGAAACTTAAATCCTAGATTCTAACCTTCAAGATATACGGAGAATTCGAGAGATTGTATTTGCTTGGCATAAAGCAACTCCAGAATATTCGACACCGAGCTTTAACATGAAAGAAAATCGTCGTCAAGTAGAGATATATACCAGGAAATATATTATCATGGACCAGACGATGGTCCAATAACGACCCAAGAATGCATCCGCAACAAATGCTCCAATAATGGGAGTAAGAAACGTAGTTCCTGCCCAGATGATATAGTTTCTGGCTGCCTCGGCCTCGGTCTCTTGCAGGACTGTCGTAAGGTAGACTGTGAGAGTGGAAGATATGGCGTAATACGCTACTAACTCTGCCACCTCGCATGCTGAAGCAACAGTCATATCGCCAAGGATTAGTCGGACTGAGGAAAGGAAGGCTCAATGCATCGACAAGAGTGTTGATAAAATGTAACAAATGTAAATTCATGCAAATTCTGACACCAGAATACTGTAACTTGCCTCTCCATCCCATTTTCCAATGAAGGAAAAATGTTGACAATCAATCGGGTACCACGAGATAGCTGACCAAATGAGCTAGATGTGCATGCATAGACTGACTGATAAACAGAACATGCACAACGAAACACACAACATCTTACCGAAAATGACGAGACATGCCTTCCACTGATACGAATGACCTCGTCTGGACATATTGGGAAGATTGTACATCCGCTCTGGAACTTCTGAACTACAAGATCAATATTGAGCCTCCTCTAACCAAACAAGTAGAAATGCAGTGAAGGAACGAGCAGAATTAACAACATTCGAGGAGGAGCAGTAGAGTTTATATCTCGACACGACAGGTTACGCCGACGTTCAGAGCTCACTTGCGACACTTGTGTGTAACACAGCAGACACTATTGACAGCAGTGAGGAGGAGTGGAGTTTACATTGGAAATGAACCTCAAGTTTAGAATTACGAACCATACCCGGGGTATTGAATTTATAGGGGATTATATCGCAATATTATATCCAGGGCGCTGGACAGGAACACCCGACGAGGACACCCGACGATAAAGGACACGACGATAAAGGACACCCGACGAGGACACCTGCCTGCGTGCCTGCAGGTTAAGGGAGTGTGTGCGGGTTGGAGTTTACATTGGAAATGAACCTCAAGTTTAGAATTACGAACCATACCCGGGGTATTGAATTTATAGGGGATTATATCGCAATATTATATCCAGGGCGCTGGACAGGAACACCCGACGAGGACACCCGACGATAAAGGACACGACGATAAAGGACACCCGACGAGGACACCTGCCTGCGTGCCTGCAGGTTAAGGGAGTGTGTGCGGGTTGAATTGTGTGCGCAGGTTAAGGGAGTGTGTGCGGGTTGAATTGTGTGCGGGTTGAATTAAGTATTATTGGAATAATCCAATAATACTTAAATAAAAAAGTATATAAGCCTAACGAATAACTTTTGGTTAAAAAACTCAAAAGAACAATAGCATTTCGTTGTTGAGAGCTCACACCTGCAGGCACGCAGGCAGGTGTCCTCGTCGGGTGTCCTTTATCGTCGGGTCCTTTATCGTCGGGTGTCCTCGTCGGGTGTTCCTGTCCAGCGCCCTGGATATAATATTGCGATATAATCCCCTATAAATTCAATACCCCGGGTATGGTTCGTAATTCTAAACTTGAGGTTCATTTCCAATGTAAACTCCACTCCTCCTCAGAATTTGATACTTCTCCTCGTTTTTGACTTAGAATTTCATACTTCTCCTCGTTTTTTACTGGAAATCTAAGACTGGAAATCTAAGAGTAGGCTCCATCTTGACATTTTCTTTCAGAAGTTCCAGAGATGATGTTCAATATATCAAGATGGGATCAATTGAGATCATACGTTCATGTGATACCAATGGCATGTCTCGTCATTGTGGGTAAAATGTTGTGTATGATAATTTTTCGTTGTGCATGATCTGTTCATCAGTCAGTCCTTGCAGGCACATCTAGCTCATTTGATCAGCTATCTCGTGTTACCCGATTGATTGTAAACATTTTTCCTTCATTGGAAAATGGGATGGAGAGGCAAGTTGCAGTATTCTGGTGTCAGATTTTGCATGAATTTACATCCGTAACATTTTATCAACACTCTTGTCGATGCATTGAGCCTTCCTTTCCTCAGTCTGACTAATCCTTGGCGATATGGCTGTTGCTTCAGCATGCGAGGTGGCAGAGAGAGTAGCGTATCACGCCATATCTTCCAATCTCACAGTCTACCTTACGACAGTCCTGCAAGAGAACGAGGCCTGGGCAGCCAGAATATATATCATCTGGGCAGGAACTCCGTTTCTTACTTACATTATTGTTGGAGCATTTGTTGCGGATGCATTCTTGGGTCGTTATTGGACCATCGTCTGGTCCATGATGATATATTTCCTGGTATATATCTCTACTTGACGACAATTTTTTTTCATGTTAAAGCTCGGTGTCGAATATTCTGGAGTTAACTTCATGCCAAGCAAATACAATCTCTCGAATTCTCCGTAGATTAGATTAGAATTAGATTAGAATCTAGGATTTAAGTTTCATATATTCAAAGCTTGTGCAAATATTCTGCAAAGTGTGGACTGAAAGACGGATGCTCCATGGCTCAGTTGACGAGACTCTGAATTGGAAACTTGCAGGCATTGGTTTGTGTCACGGTCTCCATGTCCTTCGACAAGCATAGTGTGCCCCAAAGAGTCTTCTTCTATGGTTCATTGTACTTGATGGCCTTAGGAGCGGGAGGAATCAAGGCATGTGTGACGGCATTCTTTGCAGACCAATTCGACGACACTGATCCTGGGCAGAACCATGAGAGGGTGTCGTTCATGAACTGGTGGTGTTTCAGTCTGAGCGTCGAGCGTATCATGGGCTCGGTGGCCTTCTTCCCTTGGGTGCAGGAACAGTATGGTTGGGTATGGGTCGGAGCAATTCCAGCCGGAATCGTTGGGTTTGTAACTCTGAGTTTCATTATCGCTCATCCTCTGTACTACCATCAAACCCCCTCTGGAAGTGCTTTCACAAGAGTTCTCCAGGTTCTAGTGGCTGCTTTCAAGAAGAGAAACTTGGAACTGCAACCTGATCTTCACGAGCTGTTTGACCTGAGCCCGTATTATTCAGAAGTTTCCATATGTGTTGTTGCTTGACAGAGGTTGTTATTCAAAGGTCGGAAAGATCGATAGGTGGCTGAAGACTGATGAAAATTTTCTCATCCAATCTAACAATTTTGAGAGATCTAGGCTCGAAGGGACACATCAGCTACAAATTCAATAAAAAGAGCTTTGAATACTTGCAGATCGGCGAATCCAATCTTGTTCCAAATCTCACATCTTCTTGTCGATCGTTACTCTTGCAGCAGAACTTCGCCGCTTCTCTTTTAACAGCCGTCGTTGAATGACGATCGGTGCGTATACCGGCCGTCCTCTCCCGGGCTGGGCGAGGAATGAAAATTTCTCTAAGCTAAGCTAAGTTTCTGCACTTCAAATCAACTGATTCGGCAACATTGGAAAGGGATGTGCCCATGGAAGTACAACTCTCAAGATCAGAAATTTCAGAACTCGCATTAGGGCTCCGATCGCGTTCGGGTAGAGGGCTGTACCCGACCCGAAAATCAATAAAGCAACGACCGATAAGAGCTCAGCTGCAAGACGAGGTGGTCCGTCTGCATCAGCTTCCGCTCCGTCTCGCGAAACTCTCCTCCTCCTCTCGTGTCAAGCATTCCTCCTCGTCCCGCCTGCTACGTACCTCGCTCGATGCGATGCAGGCACCCGCTCCCTTGCTTCTGCGTCTAGCTGGGACGCGCTGCGATACATATGCTGCTCGTCCTGCCTCCTCGAAATGCAGCTCCAATTTCCCGATTCTCCCTCGCCGTCCCCTCACGATCGGCCGACCGATTCGGGTTCTACCCGAATCCGACCCGATTGTTCGGGTCGGGTTTCGGTTCAAGGTCAAATCCGACCCGAACCCGACCCTATCGGAGCCCTATACGTGGGGAGTCTGACAGCTCAGCTGACCTTCTCCACCCACGCTTTCTCGATCCTGTGCGGGTGCAATGGGAGGTAAGACACTCTCCCTCCTCAATCGACTCGCTTCAAAAGAATCTTCTTTCTGATTTCAATTTCGTGCTGAGTTCCCAGTTCCAGCTGGTTTTCAAAGGTCTGGGTAGGGTAATCTGCTTATCTGAGTGTAGTTTTCGAGTTTCCGAGCACTTGTTTGTAGGTGTACCTTCTCCTCTCGAATCTCATTTGTCATTTGCAGCCTCTCTAAATAGGGCGCATACGGAACATGAGGGCCAAAGTGCCGTATTTCGTTTTCAGAAAGTTTCTTATTTTCAACAAAAAGCTTTTGTTGTCTAGGTGTAGAAACTAAAGGAGTCACTTAGCTAAAACTTTGGGGTGACAATTTTTGACAAATCTTTGTTGATGTGGGTGATTTTATTAGAGAAATTTATATAAATATTCAGCTAAATCTTTGACGTGATCGTTTGTGACAATTTCTGTGTTCATTACCGTTACTTTACTAGAGAAACTAAATGAGCACTTGATAACTAAATGAGCACTTGACTAAAACCTTGCGACGACACCTGATGAGTTCAACCAAGTTCTAGTATTTTGTTTCCTTGGTTACCTCATTCACTTGTAGCTTTGAAAACACACAAAATTATTCAACTAGTTCTAAAATATCAAGAGAGTCTCAAAATTTCTCGGAAACAAAAGAACAAAGATAAAATAGTGAACCCAGAACATTATGAAGTGCACAAAAGCCTGTTTACTGAAAAGTTTGATTCCAGGTTTTAAAAATAAATTTTGTCCAACTCATGGAGTTTTTCGTAGTATTAGTTTCACCATTTTTGAACACTTCCAACGGTGTGGAGAGTGATTTCTCCTTCCTAAAATGGGAAAAGTATATTCAGAGATCA